TGTATTTACTCTTTTTAGATTTTTAACTGTGTTCTTGATTTGCAATATTTTATAAAAAATATATAGTAAAAAAAAAAAAAATTACTATAGAAAATAATGTTCTATTGCATGATTAGAGTGTGAATGTTTGGATCTATTGTGACATAGCTATAAGGCGCTCAACGGACTTTTTTAATCTTATAAAACCTTTTCTGAACTTTGGATTAATGCAAAAACGACTTTTGTTGTGCAACCTAGTGTGTATTCATATCTCAATTAGAAGTTCTTAGATAGAGCTGCTTCAGGTTTTACATAGAGCATATTATTATTATTCTATTCCAAATCAGGCGAGCAACCATTAGTCATTATTAAGAGACATCCCAGTATCTATATTTAGTCATCCGAAAGTCTCTTTTAGTAGCTTTAATAGTAATTCGTTTTTAAAAAAAAAAAAAAAAAAAAAAAATAGATTTTGTGCTTTATCCGCATATCATTTATCTCATCCTTACGAAATACCAAATGAAATATAATGATCTTAGAAGGGATATAATGAAATTCTTTGATTGTTCTTACAGAAGAATGATCTTCTTTTTTTTTTGACTGATGGTACCAACAAACAATTAATTATAATATAACAAATATAAATAATAAATAAACAGGGCGTTCTTTTATTCGAAACGCCTCGTAATCTTCAACCAAGAATTCCTTAAAAATCAAAATGACAAAATCAGTGGTTACACAATTGGACAACACTTGCTACTTATCATAAGTAGATTATTCCTTCCAAACACAAATGCACAAATAAATTGTGATTATAAAATCAGAAAAATGATAAATAAAAACAATAATTTTATTTGGAATAAAATTCAATCACTCTCTCTGATTTTTCTTATTTATCAATCTACTGATTATTTAACTTTATTTGAAATAAAATTCAGTCATCCTATCTAATTAAATCGGTGAGTAGGTAAATTTTGTTCCCCACAAATTATTTCATTCTTTGCCTGGATCCTTTCACTTGCGAATATGGGTGCCTTTAAGATGAATTGACGGAATAAGGAGTCAAAGCAATTTTAGTATAAGATCTTTGACACAAATCAAAAACTCTAACTCTAACTTTTCAACTACTCAAACTAAGTTCTGCTAAAAAGTCATACGATTTTAAAAATCAAGTTCAACTCAATTCTCAAGTTAGCTTCAGAGTAATTATTTAAATAAATAAAAAAATTATAAAAAATAGTAGGATTTTGGAAAATGAATTTATATTCATTATAGATAATTATTAATTATAAATATAAATAATGGAGTTAAAATGGTTAAGTTGGGATTGCCGACACCTCAATCGAGCTCAACTTGTATTAATATATATATATATATATATATTTAAACATATATAAACCTATATGCTATATGCAATTTGTTGATTACAGTACCAAGTTTGGAAAATTAGTATACATCATATGAAAATTGAAGTCTTGTAGTTGTGGAGTACAGTAATGGGAACAGTGGATATAAGTTGATAGAACATTTTCATTTTATTATTATTATTATTATTATTATTATTATTAATGGGTCGTTCTTATTGATTAAACTATGTAGAAGTACAAATGAAGCAACCACCTCGATTATGTATTTACTTTGTGAATAAAATAAGTGCCTCATGGCTCATACTTGCTGCCTACAATAGACAGCTTCTCAATAACTCCAAAACTAGCTATGATTATATGGAGACTTAGCTAGATTGAGCAGGTGATTATATATATATATTAATTTCTTAATTATTTGCATGATCGTTTTTTTCCTAAAAGCCTAAAGAGTGTGAATGCTTTGTTTTCTTTTGACGCACGGCAATGTATACTTTAATTGGTCGTCAAAATATAGGTATACCACATTTTGTCACTTTTAAAGATTGTAAAACAGATTCAAACCCATCATTATCAACTTTTGGGTAGTGAACTTGAATTGGTCATCATCACTAAATTTAAGTTTTATATCAAATCATTGAAATGCAATTTCTTCTGCACTCTTCTTTAACAAATGTATCTCATATATTTATTTCAATAAATTAAATATATATATATTTTGTTGAAATATGATATGCTACGGAATAGGGTAATTAAGTAATCTTCTATTACACATAATCTTCAATAAGAAACGTTTTGTACAGTGTCTCGAAGTGTCTCGAAGATTAGTCGAGCAAAGTTTCAGAGTTAATGAAAACAAAAAGAAAGAAAAATATTTTAAAAAGTGTTTTATAAGTAGTCAGAGCTTCATAATAGTGGGTGCAGAACTTCATAATAGTGGGTGCAGCAACCTAAACTATCAAATAAAATATTTTTTGAACCAAACCAATAAGTGCAAAAACTTAAATGCTGATTAATGATACATACAAAACATTATGTACAGATTTATAATGTCATGACTAAGCATTCAATTTGTCAAACTCGGTTTTATTCAATTTGTGAAATCAGTGTGGGAATGTGGGATGGTGTCATAGGAACTCAAAAGTGAAGCATTTAAGTGTTTACTGTATGAAGTCAAGCATTCAAATATGTGGATTTGATTATGCATGCCTTCCAAAATTTAGAAAATATTGTTTTAGCGTTCATATCATATAATTTTCATAGAAATTGTGATTTGAAATATAAGTATTTGAGAAATGGTTTAAATAGAACAAGGTTACAAAACACAAATTATGTAAAGCCCAGTTTAGAAAAAGAAACATTGACCATAAACACAAACTATTGATAATTGAAAACAAATTATGTAAAGCCCAGTTTAGAAAAAGAAACATTTACAAAAAAATGAATATGCAAAATTAAAATATAAAAGTTGAGCAAGGGCACTTGCCTTCACTTTCTTCAATTGAATTGCAATGTTTTACCGATCCAAATTTGCATACAACTTGTTTTTTCCGTGGTGCCAAGTCTTTAGTGTTCTACTGTGGTCTAAGTTCAAATTAAAACTACCAAATTAGCCCTTGTCCCTAATGCCTTTGTGTTATAAGGGGAAGTTTGGCCCATATCAGATTTGGATAGAAAAATAAATAAGTATAAATGGGTGAGTATGTAGTATTATCTAATAATTTAAATTTTTGGGTAAATGCACAAGTACTCACCCGTTATAATCGGTATCAGAGCCAGACCTAATCCTTAATTAGTGGCATGTATGCAGTATTATTTTTGAGTAAACGGACCCAATTACATATTTTGTATATTATCTTTAATTAAATAGTATATTCTGTCATTACATTCTGAAGCTAACTATCAACCATCTCCCATTTAGTATTCATATAATCACACTCACAATAGTAGCATTATTTCTTGCTGTGCCAAAAGTTTTGACCATTTACCCTCAAGATGCGAATTTGAGTATGAAAAGACATTTATTTGTACAAATAACAATACAAGTTTGACTTTCAGGGAATAAATAAATAAATAGAAAATAACAAGACAAGTTTGGTTTTAACCAAAAAACAAGACCAGTTTGGTCTATATTGATCTATCCTCCCAACAGTGAATTAAAACACAAACTTAATTTTAATAATCAGCAAATTCTAATCACAGTGTAATTAGCCACAAACAAAACAATAGTGTGTTTGGATAACATTTTGTTTTGGGGATATCTTATCTAAATTAAATCACATATTCTGAAAAGAAAAAAGGGACAAATTATTGTTTTCCATTGACTTTTAATCAACTCACTTGTCACATTAAGAATGAATCAATGATGAAAACTAGGTCAAGCAAATTAAACATTCACCCTTAAATATTAATAAAAATATGGTAATTTAGTTGAAAGAGTTCTATCTTGAGTAGGAAGCATCCAAACTCGTAGTGCTAATTAATGCTTCATATTCAACAATTTCAATTTAATATAATAAAAAGGCCCTAATGAGTTTCACACCATAAATCCAACATCTCATTTGCACTATTCACCAAACCTATTAGAGCAGAAGTGTGATGTTTTTTCAATTATCTCTGAATTTGATATGGAAATTGAATCAATAAATTCACTAGCAATAATTCCCTTAAAATGGCATATTAAACTCATCATTGTTACATATGAAACTTGATTTTTATTTTATTTTATAAGCATTTCATCATTCTGTATTGCTCTTACATGCATGGCAATGCAACCTTGTTTTGCAGCATCTCTTAGGAAATTCTTATTTTAGGTATCAAAACCTCATTTAATTGTACCAAACCACACCATCGATCCCCGGCCAGTACATAAAAATATGAACTTCATGCGGTATTATGGTCGCATTCACCATGCATGGATATCCTATATATATATATATATGGTCCACAAAGCTGTATCAATTAATCAGAGTGATGATCATATGTATGTGATCGACAATCTCATGAAGTAATTTCTCTCCATTAACTAAAGGTGGGGTGAGGAGTTGATGCAGATTGGGGTTATAATACCTGTTGCATTAATTCAATAGTGTCATCCCGGGACCTATATGTGCCCGAATCTTACAGAAGTCCCTAAATTGCAGTAGATAAATTAACCAAATACTTTCTATATTAATACCACACATACATAGTTAGGATCGAGTTCATTTCACATCTAAATTAAGTTCACGAACTGCACTAAGTTTATCTTCATATGTTCTCTTCTTTTTTCTTTATTTATTTTTTAAATCTATCTCATCCTTAAATGTTATTGATAGTACGTATTTCAGCTGAATATTCTCAAGTACAATAATGAGATTTTTTACTTTTAATTTTTCTCGAAATTCAAGATAATACGACCTGCATTTTCTCATCGGGACTCTATATATTCATGAACCCCACATATAGTTTATGGCTCAATACTCGCAAAAATTATAAAAAAAAAATTTACCTTATAACTGCCATATATCATGCTGATTTGATGATCCACATGCATTTGACAGAAGAAGATTTCTAGCTTTTCCCAAACACACAGTATATACCAATTAATTCGACGTACAGCATTAGAACTGAAACACACTCACTATATGTGTGTGTATTTGATAGGGGTTTCTTAAGTTCAAGAAAATTAAGTAACTCTATTATATAACATGAATTACAGATAGTTAACCAAAAAAAAAAAAAAAAACATGAATTACAGATGCATACTACTAAAAGTTTAACTACGAGTATGAGAGATAGAGAGAGAGTCTCTTGGGATATATATATATATATATAAAAGCCCTTGGTCTGGAAGTTAAAGTTTCGATCAGAAGAGGGGGGGTTAAACCTTTTTAGAGAGAAAGAGATCGATATCAGAGAGATTCATGGCTCTTGTTTATGCAGCATTGAAGGAAGCATGTCTTGGAGAAGTCCATTGTCCGGAAGTGCTTGAAGCTGCTGAAATGGGGTTAGAGCCTGCTGATAGATAGAGTTTGCGCCACCATGGTTGTACATATGAGGAGGCATCTGAAGCATCAGTTCTTGAGGGAAGCTCAGCCCAGCCATCGGTGACTGTGTTAGCATCGGATGGGACAGCATTCCGGCTACATTTCCTCTCAGTGTCGCGGGTATGGGATGGTTATGCTGCCCTTCATATGTAGTGATCACAATTGATGGATCCTGGAATGACCTCTCCACACGTTTCTTAACAGTACACTTTTGAGTAGTGCACCGATAATAGCTTCTGCAAATAATAGTGAATCAAAATTGTTTCCTAAAAACAAAAATCTTGCACTAAAGAAGATGATTGTATCCATAATTTTCCAATGGCAAAGACAGTAATGAAACTGATCAACATCAAGAACTCGTTCATTTTCATATCTTCTATGATCTTTTCTCGGAGGATTGGAATCCCAATTCATATGAGGGGAGATCGAGCATCGTTAGTAATGGCTTCTAAATGTAGAACTGTTCCTTACTAGATAAACTAGAAAGCAAGAGCAGGCAGTCTCACTCTATTCAGAAACAAAGTCTTGAACCAAAGAAAATGATTTTTATGCAAAATTTTCCAATGGGTTGCTGAGAAACAGCAAAAGGAAAGAAAATAATGAAACTAATTAACATCAACAAAAGTTACGTTTTTTTTTTTAGTTTCCTTTATCTTCTTGACAACCACATAAAGCATTATGTGTTTTTTTCTGCAAGGTATTATATTTTGTCTGATAGCTAAGAAAATCATGGAAATGGAAAAGAAAAGTTGAGTTTTAGCTTACTACTTTCATTCCTTCTCTAGTACCTTTAATTTTGACAATACAAATGAAAAAAAAAAAGGAAACTAATGTGAACACACACTAAACATGATGAAGAATCTTTGAAAATGATTCACATATATACAATTATACACACACAAAACACACAGAGTCACACATATAACATGTATAAATTAATTGAGAAACCGACCTGGGATAAGGGCTATTCTTGACTGCTTTCTGTCCATATTTTCTCCATCTATATCCATCTTCTAGATGATCAACTTCACTCTTGGTCATGAAAGCAAACCTTGGTTCTTTCTGCTTTTTCTCTCCTTTCTTTTTTGGTTTGTTCCTGTTGATATTTTGATTAGTCAAAGTTACATTTCCATACGCAAAAGCAACAAAGATCATATCAAAATTTGTTGCTACAATACTTTACAAGGGGAAAAAAAAAACCCAATTCACTTACACAGTCTTAGAGCTCTCTCCACCATCTTCTGAACCTTTTGGCTGCTGCTCTTTCTTGTTCTTGGAAGAGTCCTCATCGCCACCGGCCTCAGTGGACGAATACGAGACGGAAGAGTTTGGAGTGACCGGAGTTTCATTACCACCAACTAGGTCTCCGGCTTCCACCACTGGCGCCTTTTGCTCATCTCTGAGTGTAGAAAATGAAGAAGAAGAAGGCGACAAGCCAAAGGCTCTTGCAAGGGTGTTATAGTCTGTGGATCCTTGTAAACACTGATCACTAGGGCTCATGTATGAAGAAGGTTCAAACCCTAGATTGTGAGCCGATGAATCGGCTATGGAGGAAGCCTTGTGAGTATACATATAAGAAGAAGTGTTGCCCGAGAGTGAGAAATCGGTTTCACAGTTGCCATTTCGATCATCATGGAATAGGTAGTGATAGTAAAGATCTCTGGGCTCTTCAGACATAGGGAATATTAAGAGGAGGAGAGGAGAACAGAGCTTTGACAGGAGCTTTGGTTAAAGTCTTTATTTAAGCTTTGACAAGGAGATTGGTTGAGGGCTATTTGTCTTATTTTTATGTTGATATAGAGAGAGAGAGAGAGAGAGAGATTATGTGGCTTTGAATGACAACTGCTAGCCTAACCTTTATGAAGAAAGTTTGACAAAAAATTAGTCCATGCATTTCTAGGGTTGAGTGTGTTTTGTCTTAATGGCTCCTCCCATCTTTCTTTCTTTTGTGTGTGTGTGTGTGTGTGTGTGTGTGAGAGAGAGAGAGAGAGAGAGAGAGAGTATATGAAGCTTTGAATGATAACTGCTAGCCTAACTTTGTGAAGGGAGGTTTGACAAAAATTAGTCCATGCATTTTTTTAGGGTACCATGTAGAACTGTTGTCTTAATGACTATCTTCCTTGTTTTCTTTTTCTTTTTCTTTTTTCTCTTTAATTAATCTCCTTGGTCATGATTTAGGTGCAAGTTATAATTATATTATTCATACCTTAAGTAGAGAAAGGAATATTATTGCAAAGGATAAAAGGGCTCAAGAGGGTAGCTAGCTATTACATGAAATTCATTGTCACATTAGTTATACTATTAGATATTCAATAATCCTAAAATAGTGCCAATGATTTTTTTTAAAAATTATAAGTTATACATTGATTTTGTAATATTAAAAGTTAGGTATGATAATTTTACGAACAGTGAGTTTTGACTTTAACAATAATCAGTAATCACTTTGTGTGTATAATATCTTGATTTAACAATCATACTAGTTGGAACGAAAAGAAAATTAAGAAAGGAAGCAAAAATAATTATATCATCCCTTAGATGCATTGAATGAGGCCAATCAATACATTTAAGGGATAAAAATTCAATTGACTGACACTTTCTAAAATGTGCATAACTAAAGTCCTTTTTGAAAGCATTATCTACCATAAACGTAACGTATGACAATTTTGTGCCATAGATATATATATATAGAAACCCTACTTTCAATCTATGTATAACACTTGATTGATCGAAGAGAGAGTGATTGAGGCTTAATGAGCATTTTGAGATGTCTATTTCGAGATTTAAAAAGATGCTTGTTGTTGAGGAAGGGATACAAAAGTCAACGACGACTGGATGGGGAGGAGGGTGGGATTGGGATTAATACTCAATAGTCAGTCACGAGGAGGAGGGAGAGGCTTTTGGAGTGACACCACAGTGGTCAATGTTTCAAACTTTGTAATTCAGGGGCTTACACGTGTCCCCACTTGCCACCGGCTTTTGACCGTAGCTGACACATCACTTGGCACGTGGGAGACCCTCTGTGGTTTGTTTGGCTACTAACATGGCCTTGCCTTGTACTGCTGATGGGGACACAACGTCAGCATCATCTTCCTTACCCCTCCCTAGAGTCCCCTCCCTAATCATGTCACCCAAAATAATTTCCCTTTTTCTCACATAATTGATGGGTCACGTGGACGGCACGTGTTTGGAATATATATATATATATACATATATATATATCTTGTGTTTGTATGCCGGAAATGCAATGTGAAATTCTATGGTTTACAGTCGTAGACATGACAGAGATGTGAACCTTAGTCGGTCAAATGTCATTTCATTCCCGAGCATTTTTGCTTAAAATGCTTGTCGAAATATCATTTGTCGTGAGATTCAATAATGAACCATCTCCCTATCACATCCAACAGTTGAGATGTTTTAAACCTAACATTTCGGTTAAAATGCTGCAACATATCTCATTTTCTTTTAATATCTCACACAAAGGACAAATATTTACTACATAATTCAATAAATATGCATTTTTGGTAAATTTTAATGATTTTTGTTAAATTCAATACAAATACTTTTTTAATGAGCCTTAATAGTAAAGACTTTAACATGAAAATAATAAATATAAGTTTTAACACAAAACACACATCAACACATCATACAACACAACATGAAATCAAGTGAGAGTGGATCCAAAGCAATACTTGGAGTAATGTGGAAGAAATGTAAAAAATAACAAAAAATTGAAGGTTCATCTACTAAATGTTGTTTGGGATGTTTTTGATTTCAAATCTAAGGCCAGATATTGTTTATTTTTATGTTTGAAGTTCAAATTTAAGTTGTATATCAGTTTTTTATGGAGAAAGTGCAAAGTCTTGCCACTATATTAATTTGTGAGGTTGATATTATGATGCAACTCAGTCGATTCGACAGCCGATGATAATTTCTTATCTGTTGGAGGGATGAATTGAATTCTAGGGTCAATCAATCTCATTCAAGTAAAGAGCAAGTCTCCACTAATTTAGTCGTACACACACACATATATATATGTGTGTGTGTGTGTGAGCACATATAACTGTAAAGCTTGATTTGTGGCTAATTGTTTGCATAGCACATGTTACTCCATTAGCCATGAGAGGTTTGATTACTCCAATTTACATAAACATAGAACAAGTCATAGACTTCATAGTCATAGAAACAAAAAGTGCCTTTTAACTTTTTGATTCTTGCTCATGGCTTTTTTCACTGAATCCACTTGCATTGTATGACATTCATCCTACTTTCTTGAGTTGTTAGTTGTTGAGTAACAAAAAATTAGGCATTTCTTTGCCAATCAAAAGATTTATTGTTTGAAAACTTTGGAAGGACTGGTTAGAGGTCACATAGGCATGAATAGACATCTACCAAATTCTAGCTAGCCTATTGAACAGATGGCATAACATAAGTGGCCCATTCTAAAACTTTTAAAAGAAGGATTTACCATTGGCAGTTACAAAGTTAGGTTGTGAATTTTGGAATTTTCTATTGCTTCCGTTTCAAAATTGTCCATCAATGCTCTATCGTACTAGATATTACTGCGAGATTCAGGGAGCACTTGATGTTAGCAGTCTTACTTTCGTATGTAGAGAAATTTTTTTATATATTAATCATGCACGATGAATATAAATTTAGATCTAACTACTTAAATAAAAATTAAAATCAAGTAAATGTGACTAAAATTGACGAAGATAAATAAAATTTTGAAATAATGTGACATGAATCGGAGCTCTTAGTAGAGAATAGAAGAAAATATTGAAGAGGAACACTAAAATCCCTAGCTTTTAATTAGCATGAATGAAAGACAACATTGCACAATCTTAAAACCAAAATGAAATCCCAATTTCAAATTATATCACTTAATGAAAAATAAATCTAAATTAGGAAAAACAACTATTTTTTTTTCTCAAAAAATATGTATAATTCACAACAATTGAGTAGGTTAGTGACCTTGTTTTTTGAATTTCAAGAGTAAGTAAATAAAGGTAGAGCCATCATTTCATTTTGGCTTCATACTTCTCTCTTTTCTTTTCTTTTTTAGTAACCCTAGAACCCCTCCAATGCAGGGCCCTTTGGTCTACTTGTTGGCCGATAAATCACAATCTTAAATTTAAGAAGAGTGTTATTTTCAATGTGTCTTCCAAATGTTAAACTTGGAATCTCCTCTTTTAGAACATCTATATTTCACGCCTTTGTTTTACTGGACCAATAAGTGGGGTTTTTTTTGTCTTCATACTTGCTTGACCACATGACGTTCAAATTAAACCCTTTATACATCATGCACATATCACTCAACTTCCTAATGCAACTTTACATATATATACACATCTATATATAAATACATACATTGGTTTAGAATGCAGGTGGAAATTAACATTCTATATGTGTATATATATCTATCTAGAAGAGTGACTTTTTCTATAATAAATGTGTGACATGAAATACATTATATATATATATATGGAATTAATGTGTGTTGTATATGTTTGTTGGAGAGATCATGGATAGGAGTAGAAACATTACATTAGAATGCTACTGAGACAGGGCGGTTGATTAAGGGGGAGACTTTTTTAATGTTATCAATAAAATAGCATGAGATTGTTGACCTTTTTGTGTAGGTGTGTGTCCATTATATATGACATAAAGTATGGTATGTATTGTTATTGGAAGTCCCTGTCAATACAGAAGAGGGCAGGTTTTTTGTTAGGTGTGTAGTCTGAAAAAAAGAATCTTTGGATGTTGACAAGTTTTAATTCAGAAAGCAATCCCCAGATCAAAAAAGAAAAAAATTTGCAAGGTACAGAAAAATTTAGACTACCTTTTCATGTTCATAATGTAGCTAGCACATGACTCATGTACCTTTTTAAGTTCATTATGTAACTAGTACATTACAATATGGTCATTTGCCAAAAAGGTAATTGAATTTTGGTTGGACCCATGACTCATTCAAAGGCCATAATTTGCGACCAACTTGAGTGTTCTGATGAAGTTCCTGCTAGCCCTTGACCATTATAAGAATAGGTGTGTGTATGCATATGTGTGTGTGTGTGGAAAGTGTTGAAATAGAAGATTTAAAAGAAATTATTTATTTGAATAAAACATATAATGCTCACAAGGTTTAATTTTGAGTTTGGATTGAGTTCGAATTCTAATATCATGTTAGAAACAATGATTATTTCATAATAGGACAAAACATGTAATTCTGACAAATTCAGAAGATATTCAATCCTTTCACACGTGACTACATAGTTGCACGAAAATTACGGATTTAAAATATAAGAATCTTCATAGCATCTTTATTAAAATATAAGAATCTTCATACCATCTTTTAAATTTAAAAGTTAAAAGTTGAAAGTTGAAAGTTTGAGAGTTGAAATCTCGACGATGGTAAAGTAGGTGTGTAAATTTCAAATAGAAAGAAAAAAGAAAAAGAAGATAGAGCCATTTTGAAGGGTTAAAAAAATTTTAATCCATCTTAATGAAGTAATTTTGTGAAGAAAAAAAATCTTAATGAAATAATTTTGATGACAAAAAATAGAAGTTAATCAAATAATTTATTACTTGACAAGTTTAGGGTTTGGTTGGTTATTTAATGAGAACTCTTATCTGAAAATATATTGGAGGAGAAGAATACCAAATCCCATCAATGGAATCACTTTTTCGATAAATACTAGACATCTAAATCATACTATTCATTGATGAAAACTTTTTCAGTTTTCCATCTCTTGAATGATTGCTTTGCTAATAGATGGTTAAATTTGGTTACATATGTTGATTTTACGGTGACTAGATGTGAAAATACATGAATAAATGACTCTTAAATTTTCACTTTCTTTCTTCTCTTCCATTATTGTCCTCACTCTCTAGCTTTCCATCAATTCTTTATCACTTGCCATGACAAAAATGGTCAAACATTAGGTTTAGATTGCTGATCAGGATCTCATTATTGTGTGAATCAAACTTAGATCATCCTTAATCAATCTGCGTCACCAAGACCTTTGTCCCACTCTCAATCTTGTTTTATTTATTTATCTTCCAATTAATTTCATATATATATATATATATATATATATATATATTCAATTGACTCATACATCAAAAAGTCAACTTACCCCAATCATAAATTCCCATCTACTCCACTCGGAATGTTCCAAATTAGTCAATAATTCAATCTTTAAAACACTATTGGTTTCTTATACTATTGGTAGCAACATTTTGCTGCAAAATTAAATAAGTGTGACACTATCTACACCTATATATGCGTGTTTTGTGACCGCTTATATATCTTAATGGTCCAAACTGAGTTTCAAATGTGAAAGGTCTTGGCTGCACTAGATTCTCTTATGGGTCAGACTATATTTGACCAATTCTAATAGCTGAAGCATTAATTCCTCCTACTATATTTTACCCATTCTTTTTTTGTTTTTTTATATTATAATTGTTTACAAATTCAATTATATGTCCCACTATTGAAACTGACTACTATAAGACTTGATTGTTATTTTATTAAATGCTCAATGTCATATAATATTTAAATTAAAAGTAAAAACGTTGACGCGGTCATGTGGGGAAAAGTTTGATTCAATTTTATATATATTTTTTTTTCCTTGAAATCTTTTAGTCTTTGCACACCCAGTCAGAGTCACTGAAGACAAGTTACTTCATCAGAATCCTAAGGAGTGAGCATAGTATTGTGTGTGTGTGTGTGTGTGTGTGTGTGTGTGACTGTGTGAGAGAGAGAGTGATTGTTCTTTTTCATGAGTTGGGTTGCTCTTTTCAGTTTGAAGAACAGATATAAACTATGAATATGTGTTAAGAAATGTAAACAGATACTTTAAGACTGGAAGAGGACTACATGGTGTGCTAAATGTGTGTGTGTGTGTGTGAGAGAGAGAGAGAGAGGCTTGACTTAAAATGTACAACTTCGGGGATTTCTTGTCATCCCATCATGACTAGATTTTGAACATCATCACCTTGGATGAAGATTTTGCAAGAAAATAGAAGCAGCCATTTAGGAACAAAGAAAAGCTAAAAACCCAGTCTCATTACCCAAAATGACCACCATCATTTGTGGTTTGAATAATATTTGATACTAAAATCTTTTAGTCCACAACTTCATGCGTATGCTTACCCTTGTGCCCTTTTGTCATTTTGTTCATTTCACCACTTGTACACTTTACCATTCTAATCAATTCATTAAAAAAATAATAATAAATTAAATTAAATTAAAAAGGCATGTGTGTGCCAGAAATATCGAAAAAATATTCAATTGAATATGTGGTACCCTTCAATAAAAGCTCATTATTTTTCTTTCACGATAAGATATAACTACTGTTCATTAGTCCAGGTACTACGTTGCTATCAAATAATTTTTTGATACATACATTGAACTATGGCCCCGAACAAGAGATATGGTCCTGCAAAGTGGTGGGGCCACAATTCTTGCTGGTAAAACCCACATGTGCCACAAACTTCTCTAAAAGTGTTGGGACAAGAAGAAGCATCCTGAAAGAAAATAGCATGTGTGTGTGTGTATGTGTGTGTGTATATATATATATAATTGTGGAATCTTGCTTTCTTGAAGCATTTACTAGGAAAGACAGATCAATGTGGAAGTTGTCATTCACATGGAAATTTCTATAAAGTCATCTAAATATTCGAAAATGGTCAGATTCATTGTAGCTTTACATGTTATATCTTTTGATATTATAAGATAATGTAAATGTACATTTTCTCATTCGTCTAAATATTACAATCAAAACAACTATTATGAGAAATCAAGGGTTTTAATTTTTTCTTCTTTCTATAATTATTTTTTTTTTCTTAGTTGGTACTCACACACACATGTCTCAATTAAGACTTGCTCTTTCTATGATCATATATACACACACTACGTATAAATGTGTATATATTTGTTTGTTCACTCGAATAAAATGTTTATGACGGATCCTGCATTAAGAGAGAGAGAGAGAGTTTACCTTCATTCATGCACTTCTATAAACATTTACCAAAGCAAGAAAAGTAGTGTCACCCACATAAACAAGATCAAGAAGTTTTTTTTAATTTACCTCCATATATTTGCAAATGAATAACTATGAATACAATTTGCAGCAATGTGTTTGTATGAACTACAATACCCTCTCAATCCACCCAAGAATTTGCTACTCCAAGCCATCTAATCACATGGGCACAATCACAGTGTGTGCAGCAAAATTTCCAGACTAATTATATATATATTTTTTGACAGGCAAAACAAAGGAAAAAATGACTGACTTGTGTTCTTTGCACCATTATACTGAAGAGATGGCAAACCAATCAGATGGTCAGGATCCTTCTGTACAAGGTCCAACTGGTCGGACAGTTTATGAAAGCACCGGTCCCGTACAGTTGAATAATACAAAGAAGCCCTTTTCTTCCATTTCTTGATAAAACAAAAAAATCGTGTGTGCTGAACTCACGATGGAAACCATGACAATAAATCTGTGTGGTCCATCTCAACATATCAGTGATAACTTTCCATGAGATCAGCGAGAGTAATTTTTCCACAATTGCCAGCGTCTAGCCGATCAAACTTTTGGCAGATCTGCATGACGTCTTTCTCTGAGACCTTTCCCATCTCCTTGAGCTTGTATATAACATATTCGGCTTTACTGCATATATATCATATAAACATGATAAGAACTTGAATCTGTCAAAGCTACAGAATATTAAAATCCATGCCAACAGCTGCAATTAAGGCCCTAAAGAACCTGGCCAATGCCAAATGAGCAGCTACAAACAATGGAAAGACTCACTATGTATACAAGCTCGAGGTTGGAATTTACACAGTATTTTAACAATAGATGACGACATAAAACATACAATTCCACCACTTAATCTATTAGCAATAAGCAATTACAAGCATATTCTGTATGGAAGCAGGCTGCAATGGTTTCTATTTTAATGTACAACTGTGAAGAGGAATGTCGCAATAACCAAAATCCAATTACACACAATTATATACAGTTTGAAAAATGTAAACAATAGTCATTGAAGTGAGGACTGCAACTACAATGTACAAAATCAAATACGGTGAATGACCATTTTACAATAAAATAATGGCACAAAAATATTATAAGGTGCAGCCTGAAAAGCGCTCGTGGACAAGGAACACTCTGCAATAAGGTGTTGGCGTTGTTGGTTCTTGGGAGAAGTTGGGGTATACATGATGATTTTTGTTATCATGACCACGGGTGTGTGGGTCTATGAGAGAGAGTAGTAAGCCTCGTGAGGTGACCACACTCCAGAAGCTGCAAAAGAGTTTTGCAAACAAAGGAAAGGAGATTGGGAAAAGGAGAAGCACAAATATGTTTAGCAAATAAAAGAATCCACATAATTAAGTCATGGGTTAAAAATGATGGGATTATCAGTCGTTCTCCAAAACCTTCAACCATGTTAGTTCGGGAATGGACAGAGTTAGAAATTGCAAGAAAACATTGGAACAACTTCAAAAACTGACTTTATGAGATCGTTAGTGTTAACCCCAAGGTTTCAACCCAAGGGCATTTGGGTAATTTTGATGATCACAACCTTTTAATATGAGAGTTTGACAATCTACTTGAGTGTGTGCTTATTTGCAGATCATATATATTGCTCTAAGTATTCAAAACTATATTGCTCTAAGTATTCAAAACTCATCTGGATCCATGGATTATGATGGTGAAATCTAAAGTAATGCATGATGCATGTGTTGAAAGCTCAAATCTAGGACTCTTAAAAATGAACCTAGACCCAAAATGTACTAATTCTAAATCATATCATGGTCCCTAGTATGGCTCACATAACCCTTGGCCTTGGAAGGTTTAAATCATAAGGGTAAGATGGGTCAGTAAACTTGGCAAAAGTCACTTTGAACCTTAAACAGGTCCAATCCAAAATACAAGTGACTAAGACCATCTCCAATGCTAAAAGTCATTTTCACATGCCAAATTTATATTTTGACAGATGCTACAGTGTCAAAATGCTACATTTTACCAATTCTGCTCCAATGGTGCATTTCATACAAAATACTATTTTTTGACACAACCACCATTATTTTTCAACTACCATTCCCACCATTCATATTTGCATCAGTAATATTAATATTAGGCACATTCCAAGTCAAATTGTAGACATTAGAAGGAAACTAAAATTAAACCTAATTAAAAAGAAGTAAAAATTTAAAATATCTGATCAAAAAAGGACAAAAAACAAAAACAAAAAAACAATTTTTTTATTATTTTTTACCACTATTTGTGAATTAATTTTTTTATATAATATATTTTTTTCTTTTTCGGAAATTTATATATATATTATATATATTTGATTATATTATTATTAAAAATATATATATTTTTAGGGCAAATCATTTCAGCCTCCCCCAATCGCCTCCATCTCTATTATCGTTCTCAACTCTGAGAACTTGCCCTCTTTCTCCCCAACTGCAAATTACAAAATCTACAAGAATCAGAAGTTCAAAACCCATATATTTCAGTTTATCTATCCGTCTGCAAGAATCCAAAGTTCAAAATCTATTACCTATATCAAAACCCATATCGGCGTATCATTTCAGATTGTTCAAAAAATCAAAACCCATATCTTTCAGTTTCCATCGCCTGCTGTTCCATTTCGGGTTCGCCGTTCGCAAGCTTCAGCCGTTGTCTCTCAACTCTCAAGCTTGCCCCCCTCTCTCTCTCTGCAACTGCTAACTTGTATGTTTGGTTTTGTTTTAATTTTTTTTTCTAAATCAACTAATCGAGATTGTAATTCTTGATTTTGTGTATGCATATATATATATATATATATATATATATATATATATATATCAAGGTCTGTAATTCTTGTTTTGTAATCAAAAGTTCAAAACCCATATATTTCAGTTAGATTTGGCACAAAATATAGAAATAGCTATTGCTATTTGTTTTGCTAGATTTGGCACAAAAAATGGCAAAGGTAAATTTTGGCAGCCAATATAGCATCCCATTGGAGAGCTCAATTTTAACCCACCTGCTATATTTTGAATTGGCAGCTCATATGGCAACCTCATTGGAGATGCTCTAAGACGTCTTCATGGCATGTGTAATTGTACTGAAATATATAGAAATCACAGACATCTACATAGAATGTACCTCTGGTGCAAATACCGATTAAGTCAAGCTAAAACCCCTTGCCTTCATAATAAGGCAAGCCTGTAAGTATAATGTTGCGTTCGGTGTGTAGGAATGGAATGCCATTCCAACCATTCCTTTGTTTGGTATGCAATTTAAAGTGGGAAAGGCCATTCCATTGGAATGAAAATCCATTCCACAGCAAAACCTATGGAATGGCTATTCCATTCCCAAGTTAATTTTTTTTAAAAGTCATCTTCCCAAAAAACCCTCATGTTCCAAGTCCAAAAACTACCACTACCTTCCACCACAACCACCTCCGACTTTCACCGCCATCACCACTACCACCGCCTTCCACCACCATCACTGCCACCGACTTTCACCATTGCCCACCGCTTTTCACCACCACCTTTTACTATTGACACCGCCTTCCTTTGCCGCAACCACCACCACCGTCACCACCGTCTTTCACCATCACTACCGCAACCGCCACCACCTTCCACCACCACTGCTGCTGCCTTCCACTGCCGCCACCATTGCCACCACCTTTCACCATAGCCACCGCTTTCTACCACCACTGTCACTACCGCCACCGCCTTTTACTACCACTACCACCTTTCACCACCACTACCGCCTTTCACCACCTCTACCGTCTTCCATCGTCACTACCTTCCACCGCCACCACCTCCATTGCCTTCCACCACCGCCACCGCAATCGCCTTCCACCACCTTCCACCACCTTCCATCACCACCACCGCCATAGCCTTCCACCACTAGCACCGCCATCGCCTTCCACCACCTTCCACCGCCGCCACCTCCACTACCTTCCGCCACCACAATCACCTCCATTGGCTTCCACCACTGCCACCTACATCACTATCTCCTTCCACCACCACCACCACCACACTACTGCCACCTCCTTCCACCACCGCCGTCGCCGCCTTCCAAAACCACCACCTACACCACTACCGCTTTTCACCTCTACCACCATCATCACCACTATCCACCACCGCCACCACCACCACCACCATTTATTTTTAAAAAATTATTAGAGAATGTCATTTTGTTAATTTAATTTATTTGTTACTAAGAGGGATATTTTGAAGAATTCAATTTGAAATTTATTTCATTCTAAATTTTAAATTGGTCCAACCAAACACTAGAATGGTTATTATCATTCCATTCCTACACATTTCTTATTTACAACCAAACAATAGAATGAGAATGGCCATTCCATTCCATTCTCATTCTTATTCCATTCCCACTTATATTTTTTTCCATTCCCGCACACCAAACGCAGCATAAGTGTCTATACCTTCATGCTCGGGGCTTAAAATTGCAAGCGATAAGTTTTCAAAACTAGCCCCTTAAAAATGCTGAAAGCCTGTAAGTGCAGCATTTTTCTGAAACTGTCTTACCGACGTCTATGCGACTATACCTTTGTGTCTCTCAATTTAACCGAGAAGGCATTTTTCTGAGTGTGTTGTTTGTGGCCCAAATTTGGTGTTGGGTCGCAACCCTGATGACCCGTTGAATGAGCTTTGTTTGGACCTAAGCACACCAAAGCTTTGGGGGTTCGGAGGCAGTGCCCCGAGAAAATTTTTTGACCCGGTTTTTTGTTTACGGGGTTGTGGACACTATTTATTACACTCTTGTAGCCCAATATATAACGGGGCTTAGGTTTGGAGTGGGAATTATTGAGATGCTGAAAATCGCAAAGAAATAGAGAGAGAGAGAGAGCGAGAGCTAGGATTTGGGGGATTGAAACTTGTAATCTCCTATTTTTCGCATAATGAAAACTTTCGCTTGATCTTCACCGTGAATGTAGGTTTTCCCGAAGCACGCTAAATCTGTTTATTCTTTGTGTGGCATGTTTACCTTTTCTGTCATGTTTCTTGATTTGTTCTTGGGTTTGCTGCTTTTATCGTAATACCAACCTTAATTCCGATAGATGTCTACTCGAAAGGGTGAAGACATCCAGCTGAAAAGATGAAAGGTGTCACAGACGTCTACATGTGCATCGACTTTCGCTTATACACAAATCTAAACGTGCCTTTAAATGCTATAATAGTAATTTATCCCAATGAGGTTACAAATAGAAGGTCATTGGCTCCTTACTTGAGACCAATTCATTGCTATTTCTAATTAGGGTAACATTTGAATGTTTTTTAATATTCTTGTTGAGCCTTCCATACCTTCATACTTTAGAGTTGAGCTTTGAGCTTTCATCACTTACAATATCTATTATTTTAGAGAGAGCACTTTGATTGTAATATATGTCCATTAAGGGATATCTTGTACTCAAAACTCTTATCTATCTTAAGATTGTTGTAAAAGGGTTGGTGTAACCCTTGAGGTCTAAGTGAGGTGCTCACTTAGTAAAGAGAGACAAGCTTGAGGAGCTTTGTAAAGGTTGTTTTCCACCTGCGACGGAAAGCTCTGAAATTTTTCTCTCCACCTATAAAGGAGACTGAGATAGTGGATTTTGGGAATCCTCAAGTGTGACGACCTCTGTGGGTAGGTGCGAGACACTAGACGAGCTACCACGCTGGAAGGCTAAAAGGTGTCATGATCTCACATTGCCTAGGAGTGAAGTTCTATATATAAGGTTCAACACCCTTTCATGTCACAATGCATTTTAAAGACGTGATGGCCGTGAACCCATCAGAACTCCAAAGTTAAGCGCGTTTACTCTGTAGTAGTACCATGATGCGTGACCTCCTCGGAAGCCTCTGGTCCGGGGGAGCCAAAAGCTGATAATTTTGTGTCTGGGTAGAGTGAAGGTTGTTACAAATGGTATCAAAGCCGGAGACCCAGCCGGAAGTGCCCCACGGGGGGTGATTATGATGACCTCTGTAGGGGGGTGTGATGTGGGAGGCTGGGGGGCTAAACCACTTAAAGATTTGGTGTTCTTGTGTTTGCATTTTTCTATCCTTATCTCTTTATCCTTAAGTTATGCATTTATTATTGCACTTACATTTGCTAAAATCATTTACACACCAAGCATTTGATAGAAGTAAAAAATCTATTGCTCCCTCCGTCCCGCAAAAAGTGTCCCTTTTGGGAACCTAACTTTTTCTTAAGAGTGTAGTATTTATTGTTTTTTATTATAGTGGTAGGGAATGAATTTCCACATATACCCTTCTAGGGTGGGTCCACATGAGGTCTTATCAAACTTTGATTGCTTTTATAACTTCAACGCAAGGAGGGTAAATTAGGAACATTAAAAATAGTACCCTCTAAGATTTTGAATTGGGACGATTATGTTGGGACAACTTATTTTAAAAATAGGAAATTGCTCAAAATGATTTCAAGGCCTTACATTGTTGCATGGGGATCATCAATACTCTCTCAGGCTTCCTAGTGCCTTCCTAAATAAGTATGATAACTAAAAAGGTATTCATCCAGTACAGAAGTTAAAACAATAAAATGTAGTACAAATCAATGTTAAGTAAGCAAAGTGGGTAAACTAGGACTTAAGGTATTGCGGGCACACACTACACAATAGAGAAACTGATTTGTTTTGGCTGCTACATTCTAAAGTCAAACCCAATTCAGAGGACATTGAGGATTACCGTGATAGAAATTTTCCATGCCAGTGAAAGACTTGAACCATATGGAGCCAATATATGAGGTGATTGGTGGATGGTTATAAATTGGTGATTCATTCATGAAGCAATGTCAGTCCAGATGCAGGTTCAAGGAACGTTGGGAAGTTTTAAAGCTTCAATGGATATCTGAGTGTGTGTCCAACAAGTCTAACTCTCTCAATACCCAAGTCAGAAACGGAGATGAAACTTACAGCGTTACAACCACCACCACCACCAAGCCTTTTTCCCAACTACTTGGGGTCGGCTACATGAATCATATATTTCCATTCTACTCTATTTAAGGCCATAGCCTCATTTAATCCACATGCTATCATTTCTTTCCTTACTAACTCTACCCACGTTAGCTTTGGTCTTCCTCTTTCCATAGTATTACCCTTGTGGACTATGTCACTTTTCCTAACTGGTGCACTTAAAGATCCTCTTTGCACATGTCCAAACCATCTTAACCAATTTTCACTCATTTTATCTCCAAGGGCCACTTAGAAACTGGACTTAAAACCAAATGGCAAAAGTACCACAAGAACAAAACTCTTAACACGATGATTCAAGCAGGGGACAACCAGAAAGACACACACACAATATAGAAAAAAAATAATAATAATAGAGAAAGGAAGAAGTTGAAGAACTAATACCAATTACTTGACTGTCTTATATAACTCATTCGTAGATTTTAGGACAACACTTTTGGAGCCAGATTCCAGTGGCTTCATAATGATCTTTGTCTTGGAAACAATGGTTCTGGATGCCCTTACACTCATCTCAAGGTCTACTATGGAGAATTTGGCTCTTATGGTAGGGATGAAAAGCTTCGTATGCAATTGTTTCAAAGAAGCCTCTCCGGCCCTGCCCTTAGATGGTTCACAAAGCTCGATCCAATAAAGATCCATGGTCGGGACGACCTTACTAACACTTTTCTTCAGCAGTACTGTTACAGCACTGAAAGTTCTCCTGATAGGTTCACTCGTGAGAATCATGAAGAAGCCCTCTAAACCTTTCCATGATTATGCCCAAAGATGGCGTGAAGTCGCCTCTCAATCAATCCTCCCAGCAGCAAAATTTATAATCGTAAACTTGCACAATGGCATTTCACATGTCATCACACACAAGCAATAACAATTTATCTATCACTGCTATAATGGGTAAAGTAGTAACATACAAGTCCAACATCATAGAAATAAAAAATGCAGATGATCACTGCGATTCAAAGTAATAAGTGCTAATTCTGTGACTTACTTAAGCTTAATCTTGCTCATATGACTCATTGCGAGTCGACAAACAACACGGACGACAGCTTACCTGAAGTAAAATGCATAGACAACAATTAGGCAACATTTAAAAATGTTTAGTTGCCTTATGGGGAAGAAGTAATCTTGAAAGCTGTTAGATATTGATAGGTGACATAGGAGAGGAAAAGGAAGTGAATAACCACAGCAAATATCATTGTGACAATGATGGGGCAAGTGGGCAGGAGCATCGCTCAAGATGATGGCTCAGAAGCTTGACAAGTTAGGTTTGACTCTACCAGCACCTACCTGATGTATTTGGCTAGTTCATGTGTTTAGGTGCATCTGTAGGGATTAGACTCAAAACATCGTCAGTAATACCTAGGCATAAACAAAAAGATGGTTCAATAATGAGAGAAACCTTTTCTATTGGAATTTTTTCACGTGTGCTTAATACTCAAGTGTTTCCAATAACCCAATGTGGTACTGTTGTTCAGGTAATTCTAGCGGTTTCCATGTGGGTATCAATATCTAGTATTCAGCTGTCTAGCCTTAATTTAGATTCAAATTATCGTGTTTTTGTTATCTTATGGTGTCAAATCTTCATATTCTAAGTGTCATTTTGTTTCTGACTTGGTACTGAGATTTGTTAGACCTTCATTCTCACCAATATCTTTCAATGAAATTTCTAAATCCAAAATGGCCTCTTAGATCACTTTCCTACATAAAGCCCATAAATGTCACCTGCCAATGGCTAAATGGTGTCCAAATCAATCAAAGGGACTAAAGCAGGCTAAAATGAGAAATATATATATATATATATATATATATATATATATATATATATATATATCTTCTTTCTAAATAGATTTGATTAGGAACTTATTGTATGTCCAAGGTCCAATACTGAAATAATTTCAGAGGTTTTCCCTAACTTTGTCAGTCCTCTTGATTCCAAATGCATCCAATTTATTAACTGTTACGGTATCAGAGAAACTACTACTTTACCAATTACAACATACAGATATGCCCCAGTAGCACCCACAAGTGAGGACTCAAGGACAACCCAACCAACTCTTTGAGAGCATCCGGGGTAAATAATAATAAGGTCTAAGACTTGAATTGTTTCAGAATTTTAAAAGATTGAGAGAGAGAGAGACGAACTGTATACTTCGATGCTGTCAAACAGTATTGCCGATTGATATCTCATTCATGACATGTTGTCAAACAATTCTAAACCTGAATATCACTAGTATTGCACTCCCATAACTTAGAGGATAAAAAATTATGCATATTCTCCTAAGCCATATCTATAACTTATCTTACAAAAAGGGACTTCTAACAGTAAAGCAATAATGTGGTTGACCATAATTCCAAATATGAAGCAGAAGCTCATAATCCTTCCCATATTCCAATTTTAAAACGAAGCCACAACAAACTTTCATGTATAAAGAAACAACTGATCTCATAAATTCAAGTCTCCTGTCAACAAAAGATAATCTTCCCTATTACCTTCTAATTGTATATACACATTAAAAAAATTAAAAGTGAAGTATAGGCTTTCCTGCCATAAAGCTCACATTTTTGTTTTACTGGTCCAAAATCGCATCAACGGGAAGATTGACTTGAGTTCACTTTTAAGAAATTAAAAGGCATACAAATGTTGTTTATTTTTTATAAATAAGACAATCATATAAATGTGTAAATCAAATTCCAACTTACTATAATAACAATAAGAACAGGAAACAAAGTTTCTACCTCACAAAACCATTGTTGTCAATGTCAGCAGCAAGAAACTGGGCGACAGTCATATCCTGACCAAGCACCCATTTTGCCATCCTCCGATGCCTTTTATCTACTCTTGCCTCAGCCAAGTAAAGAAATGCCCGAGCAACTGCAAGTGTTGACACAAGCAACCATATTGATGCAAAAATCCGACCGGACAGGGAACCAAATGCCCTATCACCATACCCAACCGTGGTAACCGACATAACAGAAAGATAAAATGAATCCAACCATCCGAGCCCTTCAACAAAATGCATAACACCCACACCGGCTCCAATACAAAGAACCACAACCCCTAGTGCCAATGCCACCTTCATCCGAATCCTCATCCTCCCTTTCTTGACATCAATTATATATGAATTGGGCGAATTGTGGTCTCCCCCAACCTTAACAGTCTTCAAAAGATAATTCTCTTGCAAATCAAGCACATAACTAACCATCCCAGAAAGCAAAATATCAATAAACCCAAATCCCACTAACACAAACATAATTGAAAACAACTTTGTTGTAGTGCTATTTGGAGTTATATCCCCATAACCAATTGTACACATTGTCACAATGCAAAAATACAAAGCATCAACAACAGGGTGTGTCTCTTTTGCCACGAAATTATCACGATTAAACGCATATATAATCACACCAAGCGTTAAATAAACTACCAGAAGAAGAAAAGCCTGACGAATAATCGAAGAAGAAGAAGCAAATTGAGGGGGTTTCGTCTCCGAGTGGTGCTCAACATCATTGATAGTCGCCATGGCCGGTGCTGTTTTCGATCGGTGGAGGTTGCTTTTGGCGCATGGGTAATTGGGATCAATCAACCAAGATTGTTGGTTTTGTGCGTCTGAAGTGTTTGTGGAAATGTCAGCAGAGGAGGCGGAGGATTTGGGAGAGTTTAGAGATAGGGTTAATGCATCAATAAGATTTGTTGGAGGTGGGTCTTTCGGAGAAGATGAATAGGGACCAAATATGATACGGTCTTTAAATTCTGATGGGGTTAGAGGGATAGAGAATTCATCGTCCTCTGGGAGGGGACAGAGGACTGATGGTGGTGGTAGTGGTGGTGATGGGTAGGGCTTTCTGGGGATGACATATGGAAGAAGAGGCTCTTTTTCCATCTGGGTTCGCCGGAAAACTGATTGTGGGTCAGATTGAAAACCATAAACCACGTGGTTTTGCAGTCATAAGGCGGTTTTGTGATGTGGGTTAGTTGAGATAGAGAAGCTGACAACAGAATAGAAGAGAAACGGAAAAACAGAAATCAACTTTCTCTTAAAGATGAAACTAACTTTCAAAAAAGTGAATTACAGAAATGAAGTATAAACACGGATATAGGGTGAGAAAGTTTGGTGCTTTGATTTGGTCATATGTGGAGATATTCCAGTGAAGGGACCATGAGTTCGTATATCATGGTAACTGCAGAGTGTTGAATCTTTTGGCTCCCCATGAGGAGGAGTGATACCACTACGCGCCAGGTGGCGCGTGAGTATTGTAAATCAATGAATGGTCTGTGGTCAACATCCTTGTAGAGTTAGGTACAATCGTAATAGTTTAATTTGTGAGGATCGCGATTCCTTAAAAGTAACACATTTTTATAAAAAAGAAGAAGTATTAATTTTTTAAAATTATTTATTTATGAATCACCATAAATATTGACAATTAATTATTAAAATAATACGGAGTATATATTTTTAATAAAAGTGATATATAGTAAATAATTTATTTTGAAAAAAAAAAAAAAAAAAAAAAAGCAAATTCAGATACAGTCCTAACATATTCAGATGCATGTTGATTTTACCAATCAAAGGTAATTTTATATACAAATAAGCCAAATTGCACGTGCATAATGATATGGAACAATTGATGGCTATGTTCATTTTCGAATCGACAATAATGCCTTGTAATTAAAGAAGTTTTGAATGTAACAAGTTTGACCTTGTCTAATTAATCTGATGGAATTGCAAATTAAATAAACAGACCTTCTTTCCATTATATTTTTTTCAAATGTCATAAATGTTCAACAAATGTTGACAGAGATTTGGATGGAAAATTTATTTAATTAATTGAATTTTTTTTCTTTTTTTTGGTTGGTCTTGTTTTATAAGTAGAAAGTGTTGTTTGTGAGCATAAATTGAGTATGTTCTGTCATACCACATCATTAGTACATCCACTCCATTGAATTTGTCTCACCTACTTATAAAAAATTGATATTGAGCCCTGATCACCGAATATCTTGTTTTTGCACCCCCATACACACACACATATATATATAATCAACAAATATTCATCTTTCTTTTACTTTCTCCATTTTTCTCTCTTTCCTTTCCTCTCCTCTCCTCTCCTCTTTCATAAAGTCAAGGAGTCCAAAAACATTATCTCATAGCAAATATCGAATTTGTAAAGGAACTCCAAAATGAAACAGATACAAGCAATAAGTCAAAGACTCAAAGCAATAAGTCAAAGACTCAAAGGTGAACAACAGAAACCCAACAGCATAAGCCAGAGTAGACTATAAACAACACAAGAAGCAAGGATCAAGTTACTACACTTACCCAGAAAGCTCCAAAATGCAATTATTCATAAAACCTACTACTACAATAAACTACCAATACCAAGAAGGTAAAATGAGAAAAGATTTCAGTGAACCGGAATAATTGTGATCAAGGTTCATCCAGCATTCTATAGAGAACTGGATTTATATGATCTCCTGCAGTAAAAAATGGTAGTCCAAATTCCAGAGACATTCATTAGATAAGGTAATACTTGTTTTGCAAGATCAAGCATGGATGACCCGGACAATGGCCATACCGTTTTTCTTTTTCGGGCAAGGTAAAACTCCATTGTATGATGAATATGTGGAAACTGTACTTTAAACCCCAAGCAAGACTCAGAGGCCAAGAACAAAAAACTGTGGCCATAACAAGCCCAGCAACAAGGAGCAAGCCATTAGAAATAAAATGACAAAAAGCTAGGCCTGAAGAGAATCTGCAAATGGGTGAGTGGAGAACATCAGGAGCAACAAAGGACTTAACATGCCACGACACCAGAAGTGATTCTGTTTCCTCTTTATCTTACAATCTTCGTGGCCGTACCAGACATGTTTGCTCCACCAATTTGGAAATAAATGTTTGGTAGAAACTAGAAATCATAGTCCATGAAAGAAAATATAATTCAGGCCTACCAAACAAGCCCGTCTGACATCTGTTGTTTTCTATTCAGTTGTGCAAACAAGTAAAAAGTCCAGAAAATGAAATATTACTTCAGACAATTGTCTTGCCTTCAAAAATATGCAAGGCTAGCATACATTCAAATTGACCACTTGACAACAAAGTCAAGCTGAATAAATACTTTCAGGTGAAACAAAAGGGAATTAATATAACAAAGTAGGAGCAAAATACAGTCAGAAAACCGCTTACCACAAAGTTAAGTATAAATCTAGAGATATACATCACAATGAAGCATTTTATCATCAAACATAGAGCTCTAATTTCAAATGTGTGCTAGTCATCATCCTCAAGCACACTCCGTCGCCTCTGGATCTGAAGAATTACAGAAATAGAAAACAGCAATTGTTGAGAAGATTGAATTCATGCAATTCTGTAAACAATATGCAAGGCAAATGAAAATACGAGAACAAAAGATTATCACTTACTGTGACTTTGGTCTGTTTAGTTGTTTGGTTATTGATCTGTTCCAGCAATGAAATGAGCCTCTCTTCGGAAACCTACAAATAAAATGATACTCAAGCATGGTTATAATATAAAGCACCAAATATCAGTAGACATGCACCAACATTCATTGAGAATCCGCATTGTTACCTTCTCAACTATCTGACCCATTTGGGCAGCCCTGAGTATGACATCTTCAACTCCTCTTGCCTTCTCAGGCTTCACCAAAGCAATTCGAGCAACTGCTTATATAACATGGCAGTTGAAGAAAATCACATGATGCCAATTATTAAAGAAATAACAGAAAATAACTTGAAATGGAAGTGGCACAATGCAATAGGGGTATAAGGTGCCTGTTATTTGCTCATTTCTAAGTTGCTAAAAGATGTCTACCCTGGTTATTAGAGTTCTTGTTCTTTTTTCATTTTTTTGTGGGTCTCCCAGCAGATTCCTATTCTACCTCCCTGAATGCCTAATCTCGGTTTTTGAAGCAGCAAGTAACCATGTCAGGTAGCCTTTTTGGTCAATGGAGAGGAAGCTTAATACTTGGTCGTAGCGCTTAAGGCTGAATAATTCACTTAAGATGTAAACAAGTGAACAAGGTGAATTTAAGTTCGCAAGGTGTAAGATGATGCCTAGACTAATTAATCACCAGTGGGAACAGAAAGTCATATTCCCATTCTTTCTTCTGAAAGCTGCTATATACAATGGCGCGACACAGGCATAAGTTCCACCCCCCTTCCCTGAAAATAGTCTCATTTGGCAAATGGTAATCTCCTTTAACCTCCAAAAGCCAAACCTATCATACTTTTAATGGGTAACCAACCACCCTTGTTTCCACTTGACAGTTTGGTAGACACGCACATTTCACAACATATATATATTTATAGATGTGAAAAGATTATGTATTAAATACAAAGTATACTCAATGTCGCCATAACTAAATGGGAAAATTTAGGTTTTATTGAACATACAACCTTTTGAGTGTATCGAATGAGCAAGAAAGTAACAGCGCACGTTTATGTGGAGGATTCAATGTTAACGGGAATGGTGGATGAAAGTTAAGAGTTAAGTTCAGGACAGTTTTTAGGAAACAGTCTTTCCCTTCTTTGTATTATTTGAAGGAATGTCACATAAGGAATTTTCATATTGTGAGATGACCTATCTGAAAACAAAGATGGCTTTGTAAAAGTTCCTGTTCTTGTGGAATCTTTCTTCCTACTTGGGGTTGCCTCTTGAGTCATCATCTTTCAAAGCAACATTGGCTTGGGATTCTGCCGTTGAAAGATTTGAGAAGAGATCTACTGACTGGAAGGGACAATATTTTCGAAGGGGCAAGCTTACTCCGATGAGGAGTACCCTCTCGAGTCTACCAACTTATTTTATGTCCATCTTAACTATCTAGTCCTACAAGGTGGCTAGTAAAATAATAAGGGTTTATTTGTAACACAAAATAGAATTTCAATGCAACTAAGAGACACAAGTCAAAACTTTAACAAGCCAGACAATAGGTCTGTCCACCCTTAAAATATGTTCTACCTTACATGAGTATATCAAAATTTGAATGCCTAATTCAGTGAGTCTATTTACTAAAATCCAGCTCAGGTAACAAAAAGGAATCAGGTTCCACATAAGACTAAAAACCGAAGTCTTTGCACTCAACCAAAAGGCGTAGCCTGTAACTATGCAGCAATGTACATTATAGGAAACTTCCAACTGGTGTAATAATTATTCTGATATAGACCCCAATTATCTCATCTCAAGGAATACTTCAATGACAAAGCACACAAATGCAATAACCAATTTAAAGCACGTCTCGTCCAATAGCATACATGCACTACTGTCCAAAAAGATTCAAGAAAAAAGGTGCAAGAAATAAAGATTTACAAGGATGAGCAGAACAAGATTTTAGATTTTAAATATACAAATAATAATGGGCCCTGCTAAAGCATGCATTTTTTTCTTCTTATTTTACAAGGAGGGAAACCACGAAATCGAATCCTAAGTTGGCACTCATTCAGTCTAAAACCGTACCTTCCGTCAATATCTGTGATTTTAGATCACTAATTAAGTCTTATTTTCCGTTTCCACCAAAAAGCACTTTCCAAGGATTCTAAAGAAGGCAATTGATTAATTGGTTTATAATGTTTATACTAGCCAGCTAATTTACTTGATCACTTATAACATTTCCGCATCCTTCCTCAGTCACCTCGCACCATTGTCTTAATAATGTACCTTATGATATCAATTTAAAGGCCCATTTTTTCTTGGAAAATTAGCAAGATGAAGTTACAAATTTCATTAAAATGACTAGAGAGGACATGCCAAAGTAGAAGGCTGGAATTAGTTCTATATCTCTAGAATTTATATATATGTCATTTACCTCCCCATTTCTGATTTCAAAAACTTATATTTTCAATTCATCAGTCAGAGTACTTGTGCCATGATACATGCATACAAACATATCTACGAAGAAGATTTAGCACCATGTGATGATATGACTTGCAAAGAAAGTTTATAACCTTTCCAACAGCCAAATTCACTATAAATGATGCTTATAGAATAAAATAAAGTTCTTTTTTTTTCAGTAGATAAGCAACACAAGCACAAACCACACTGCCCCAACCTGAAATCACTTAAAGTGCCTATCAAAAAACAGAAGAATAAGAAGAAGTAAATGGTTTTGGTAAATTGGTAAAAATTATTATTCAAAGTATAAGAGATATGGAGAGCCCATCCACCTTTTCCTTATTTTTCGTAGTTGTGTATTTCTTCAATCAGTATATGGCACGAAACGGCACATACAATTTCTAAAGGGAAGAAGCACAAGTATGCCATCATTAATAGCCATACTAGAACCAAGACCGCAACTGAACCAAAGAAAATTTTCCTATTATTCCCCTACTTATTTCTTCTTCTTAAGAAGCCTTTGATACCACATTCCCTAATTTCCTTGATAATGCAATTCAACTTATGTATTTCTGATAGAAAAGGTTCAGCAAGCCACTAACAAGTAAATAACAGATTGAAATACTATAAATAAACAATTTGCTCGAGTGTAAAGAACATGCATCCTAATTCAATTGTGATACACCTAATCAGAGTTCAGAAATTGAAGTAAAACAAGCAAACATAAGGATATCTCAGTCAAACGAGATTCACTATCTGAATAAAAACAACTTAGAATGTCCTATTCACATCTGAACTTACGTCTTTCTCGTGCTTCAGATGACAGAATCTGACTAAGCATCATTTGCCTTCGTTCATCAGCTTCCCTACATCAATTACTAGAGCAGTCCAGATCAAGAAAATCTATAAAGGGGAAAGCTAACAATACATTGTATAAAAATAAAATTAAAAAATATATACATTAAATGCTTGATATGATGCAAGTTGCAACTGCTGGGTAAGGAGATACCTTTTGGCCTCCTCTTGAGCATTCTGCTCTTCAGTGTTCTGCTGGTTTGGCTATTCATCAATAAGTTCAATAAGCATTGACATTAAAAAGGGCAATTTCACAGTGTTATATATACTCCATGAAATGATCACTTACAATGCCACCGCTGCGTTGAGCCATTAGCTCCTGCATTCTCCTTTGCCTGATAGCTTCCAATTCAGGGTCAGCCTATAATACCACATGTGGTGTTTACGCTTCAAAATTGTGCTCCAAATCCAAATTAAATTCATATGTGAAATCAGTGTCGGCTAATCTTGAAAATAATAATATTACATCGTTTTGGGTGCCAAAGCTATCAGGTTACATCCGGAATCAAGTAAAAGTTTATAGACCACAAATCCACAATACTTGAGATCGCCAACTTTAACATTCCCAGATAAATTCAACATAAAATAATAGCCCAAAAGAATGAAATTGCACAAGTTTTTTTTCTTTTTGGGTAGCCCTGATTCCACTTTACTTTTTGCTTAATTCACAGTGTTAGGTATGGGATTAACAAAAGGAACTGAGTGGATGCAGGAAAAGTTAGACCAGGAGCATAAAAGGAATTGGATTTGATCTTAAATTACTATCTTAGTTCATCTACAGCACAAACCCCAAATCAAATTCTAAGTTCACAACTCTAAAGAGTCCATGTGAAATTGAGTAGACTAATATCAATAAAGATCAATCCACATATTTGTGTGTGAAGAGAGAGCGAGAGAGACGAATTACCATTTGTTATGGCAGAATCAAACAGCAGTTGGTACCACGAAAAGGGAGATGGCGGAACCAGAGCTGGCGTTCGAGAGACGCGAGCTATATATGTATATATACACCCGCACAAGATCAATGTATATAGGAGCCTGATGTCTCGGTCGTCATTGGATTCGGAGTTGTTGGGACCCGCCTAGGGCGCCACTATTAGTCTATTGGGGATGTCGATTTAACCCGCTTGTCCCGCGCCCTATTTTGGAGACATACAGTTTTCTGCCGTAATTTTTAAGTGATCCATATTTGGTCACATTATTCTTTTATTAACAAACAATAAGACCGTGTTTAACCAATTATATCACTATTTATAAGTAAAATTTTACCACCATTTATAAATAATATTACATAGTCTAAAAAGTAATGTTACATATAAACATAACTCAATTTAACATATTATTTATGTTATTATTTGAAATTAAAAGTGGTGGTGTTTCCTTTTACAAATGGTGATGTTACTTTTTAGACTCTGTAATGTTACTTATAAATGGTGGTGAAATGTAAAAATAGTCTAAAAAGTAACATCACCATCATTTATAAGTAACATCACAGAAGTCTAAAAGTAATATCAGATAGTCTAAAAAGTAATATCACCACGTTTTGATTTGTTGATTTCTTATATTGATTTGTATTAAATCATATAAGGCGGTGTATAACCGACCAAGATATATATATATAGTAATAACAATTAAAATAACTTAATAAAATAACTGAATATTGAATTTGGATTACAAATAATAATTTCAAAAGAGAATAACTGAAAATAACTTACAAATTAATGTAACTGATATATGTCTGAAGTTTACAGCATACTAATGTTGTATTACACTCAGAAAATAAAACTAAAACTGAACTGAATATTACAACTGAATATTTGGAAAATGTAATGAAGCCTGAAATCTCTCGAATGAAGCCTGAAATCTCTCGAATGAAGCATGAAATGCAGTAGGACTGAGCACTGCTTTTATAGTCGGGCTCCTTCACTGTTAAAGGATGCTTCAGCGCGAATCCTGACTTTTTAAAAGTGACTTTTGCTTTTGACTGTAGATGAATAGTGACTTTTACTGTGAATGAATAGTATCTTGTCGGGGGTACTGTAGAAACAGTGATTCTGCCGACAGTTACTATTGAAATAGTGACTTTGACTGGTTACGTAGCTTTCTTGACTTTTACTGTAGCAAATAGTAATTTTGACCAAATAGTAACTTTGACTTTTCCTGATGAATCCTTAGAAAGGATCTTCATAAGGATTTTGACTGTCTTGAAAGACAGAGTCATCATATAAGTTTACTTGGTGACTTGGAGTAGCAACAGAGGAAGCATCTTCTGCTTCCTCATCTTTGGATAGCACTTGAATGCGATCTGTTAATGAAGCTGCCATCTTCTTGAGTTCTTCAAGTTCGGACTTAAATGTATTTTTTTTGTGACTTTGTGGAAACAGCAAAACTAGTAGAGGAAGGTTGTTTCTGTTGAATAACTGGCTTTGCAGGAGGAGTGGCTTGTGTTTGTGAAGTAACTTGGACTGAGGATTGCTTGGGGTAATCACCTTCAACATACCCAATAATCCTGTCAAATTTGAAAATGTCCCACCATTTGACATAGTGGCGACGGATGACTATGTTGTCCTGGATATCATATTGCCATTTGAATATCCATGGAACTTTATATTTGTTGTAAAATAACAGGAGGATTGGAAATTGGGAACCATGTTTGCTAGCTTTGTGGACAGTGGAAAAATATTTGACTTCTTCTGCAAAGGAGTGATGGAGGATCTCAGGAATAGCACCATGAAGAGGCCACCATCTCAGGAACCAGGTAGGGATCTGACTTTTGAATTGACTATCAAAATTAAAAAACCATGAATGAGTAAATGGCTCATTTTGGTATAGGAGCACAGATGACCAGGCTGTCATGTAATCATAATAGGTAAATTGGATAGTATGATCAGGTAATGGCTGTGGTAGAGAAGGATGACTGCCCCATTCTTCCATGGAAATTATCCGACAGATGTACAGGGAATGGTAAATGACTTTGGTAGAATCATGTTTATCATAAGTAGTTTTGACTATGACGAAGTTGGTATTGTACAGGATATCTCTGTAAAACCGAAGAGTTTTAAGAGGATGGCTTGAAGCATAGTGTATGTTACTTGGGAAATAGGAACGAGCTAATTCAATTGGGTCTTTGATGTGACTTAGGTGTGGCTCAATATAGAACAAGGAATTAGGGGTTTTTTCTACATAGGGACTTGGAGGTTTGTTTGTAGTTGTGACTTGAACTTGGGAGTGGGTTTAATATTTTACTTAAACTTGAAAAAGGTCTGGTGGAGGATTGACCAGGGCTAACTTAAAGGTTGATGGGGAGGCAAAAGGTTGAAATCTATTGGTGACTGCTAGTGCAGAAAATTGTGCTTGTGACTGGGATCTGGTGACTGGGGCTTTGCCGGAGCAAATATCAAATGGTTTAACTAGTTGGGGCCTCAAGGGAGGCTGTTGGTCTGCCATCAGATTTCTGCAAGAATTCCCTTATGAGAAAATCTGGAATAGAATTGTTACTTCCCTTGATATATTCTATATCAAAATCAAATATACTTAAAATAGCTTGCCATCGGGTAAAAATCTATTTAGAAGCAATATTTTCAACATCTTTTTCCAAAACATATTTTGCACTTTGACAATCAACTCTGACTAAAAACTTTTGATTTAAAATATCATCTTGAAATTTACTGATACATAGAACAATAGATAAAATTTCTTTTTTAATGGTACTATAATTACTTTGTGCTTTTGTCCAAACACCAGAATGGAATCGAACCAATTGTTCAGGTGCATTTGGACTGACTCGTTGCTTAAGGATGCCACCATAACCAATGTCAGAGGCATCTTTTTCAATTATTTTGAAAGAATCAGTAGTTGGAATGCCAAGACAAGGCAATGACTTGACATAATACTTAATGGATTTGACTAGATCATTATGGACAGAGGTCCATGGAGGAGGGTTACTTTGAAGACGATCAAAGAGAGGCTTACATTGTTTGTGAAGATCTTTGTAAAAGTCAGCAATGTAATTTAGAGACCCTAAGAAGCGCTGGAGTTGTGATTTTTCTAAAATCTGGTCTGGGAATTTATCTGCAAATTGAAGAGACCTATCAATAGGACGAATCTGGCCTTGATAGATATGGTAACCTAGAAACCTGATATTGATTTGAAATAACTTGATTTTTGTAGCAGAAATAACAAGACCATTCTTTTGAATTGTTGCCAGAAACGATTTCAAATGTTTCCAGTGTTCATCAATGGACTTGGAATAGATAAGAACATCATCAATATAAACAATGGAAAAATGACTATAGGGATTGAAAATATCATTCATGATATTTTGGAATTCACTAGGAGGATTTTTCAATCCAAAAGGCATTACTTTCCATTCATAATGACCAAATGAAGTGGTGAAGGCAGTTTTGTACCTATCTTTCTTTCGAAGGCGAATCTACCAAAATCCTGACTTCATATCAAATTTGGAAAAAATAACTGCTTGACTGAGGTGACTAATAAGATCTTTTTTATTGGGAATAGGATACCTAATCCATTCTAAGACCTTATTTAGAGGCTTGTAATTGATAGCGAGGCGAGGAACACCTCTTTCTATTTCAGAGTTTTTCTGAACATAGAAAGCTGGACATGACCAAGGAGATTTGCTCTTTCTAATGATCTTTTTACGTAAAAGATCAGAGATTTTCTGTTTGTAAAATTCCATGACTTCAGGGATCATTTGGATAGGCCTTGCTTTAGTGGGAATGTACCTTCTCTTAAAGCCTTTAATGTAAGGTAACTTCACAGAATATCTTTTTCTGTGCCAAAAGGCAGTTGGAATATCAGAACAAACTGTATTTTTAATTTGTTGTTTAAAATTTTGAATTTTTGTTTGGAGCACTGGATCAGCTAACTGATCATCAATGCGTCTTTTAAAAATGCTAACTGCTGAGTTTTACTTTGAAGTAGGTTTATAGACTTGGTCACAAAGGAATCAATTACGGATTTTAATTCTTTCCTGGATGGAGGACTAAGGAACTTAAACTGAACTTCATGTCCAAAAGGTCGAGTAACTAATCCTTCATTGTCAGTAGTAAAGGGATAGAGGAGATAGATGAATGAAACTCCTAAAATTAGCTTATCAGTCATATTTTTTTACCAAGACAAAGGATGTCTTAAAACATACATTGTTTTGGCAAATATGAACTTTAGATAACTTGTATTTTATGTCCATTTTACTTCCATTAGCTGAGCTTAGCCTTTCAGAGGTTTTCTCATAGTATTTAGTTGGTATGAGACCTTCCTGAATACAATTAAGATTAGCTCCTATATCAATCAAAGCAACGACTTCAAGTTTGAAATCTTTGTTGATGATAAGGGTAACTTTAGCATACTATTTTTGAAATAAAATGTGACTTAAAATTTGGAGTTTTTTAGAAGACTCTGGACATCTTAAATTTTTAGAGGCTTCTGAATGATCAGAGACTTCTTCATCAGATGATTCTTTTCCTATGAGGGAAAAGGCAGGATTCACGTTTAACTCCTGAATATTGTTCTTCATAAGTTGGTGTTCTGACTTGAGATTTTTAATCTCAGTTTTAATTATGTTAATTTCTGCTTGAAGGTCTTGAATAGTGACTTCTTTAGGCTTATTATTAAACCTTTCTAAAGTTTTATATGGACTAAAATTGGGTTTACTGACGATTGGGGGTTCAGGTTCTGAGTTGCCTAATAATACTTTAAGTTTTTTAAGATATAAGGTTTTTAACTCAGGGTCATCTACCTTACTGATTAAATCAATAACTAAATGCTCTTATTCATCATTTTTTGTAAGAACATTAAGTGACTTATTCGGATTGCAACAACTATCTTTACATCCTAAGGTAATGTTGGGCGAACTAAGGGAATTATCAGATGATTGAGAGGAAGAACTAACTTTTGGGTCACTACTACTACCATCAGTATCTTTTAACTGGAGAATTTGGTAAATGGATGCTTTAACTTCATTGGAGATTTGTAACTGACTGATCTTTTGCTTTGCATAGCAATCTTTTACAAAGTGACCTAGTCGACCACATTTGTAAC